TGGAGCTTCTGATCAACTGGCTCAGAATTCGCCCCACCACACATTTGGATGGGGTTGTCCATGTTCATGTGCTAGGCCCTATAAACATCAACATTTACATTTATACCATCTCTTGGGTTCTTCCATGGGCCGGCGGCTTCCAGCCCATCCCTCTTCCAGGCCGCCTCTTTATCGATGTTCCCACTCCAGGGCGCCCTCATCGGCTCGTACAGTAGGCTCTTTCACAACCCCCCCCTCCCAGTGGCCGGTAGCCCCCGCGCCTGCGCCCTCACAGTCACCTCACCCTCCCTCTCATCCCAAAATCTCAGCTGTGGGCTGGGCGACAAACCTTCAAGAACTTCCGCCCCGAAGAGGCCAAGATCTCCTCCACCCGCTGCTCCAGCTCTGCTTGTCGCTCCTCATGGCCATCGGTGTTCAGCAGCCTCAGTGGGTCACTGCCCAGCCCAGATGGATGGGGCTCAAGTGAAGTTTGCGGGGGGTGGTGCACAGGAGGAACATGAGTCAAGTTTTAAACAAATCATCTACCCAGTGGAGCACATAGACCAACAGAGGTTGAAGAACCCCAAAAAGACGTACCCCAGGTAGACCGGGTCCTAGTTCAGGTCACTGAACCTCTCTTGGGACAACATGAACATGACTTTGAGATGTGAGTTTCTGACTCAATTGTTGGCCGGCTCTTTTTGCATGGGATCTTTGGCCCCCTGCAGGCAGCGGCCCCAGTCTAGACTGGGGGGGGGGGGTGATTTTTGGTGTTTCAACACCACGTGACATGCGGCACGCTGCTGCATCTGCAAGTGTCGACCTTGCGCGCTCCCCGTCCTTTTTCACGGTTCAGAACCACCTCAGACCTCAGACCTCGCGCGCGTGCGAGCAATCCCTTGAACAGCGAAGGGGCAGCGACATGGGGCCGAGCTCGATCAACTCCTGGATGCCGATCACCTCAGAACCACCGGGGGTTCCCACAAGGCGAGGCTCCGCTGAAAGCATCCACAGGCGATGCTGAAGCCGTGTACGTCGTCGGTCGAAATCGGTGGCTAGATGTAGAGAGTAAAGATTGAAAAACACGTTTTTGAGGGAAATGTGCATGATGGACCTAGGGTAGCCCATATGTTCTATTAATAATGGGTTCACCGGATTAATCAACCCCCCCTTCAAGGTCAACAAGGTGTGGGATTGGAGGGCTTGGAGACCACATCCCCCCAATAAAGGTGATGACCTGGTGATGGATGATGAGATGATAAGATTAGGAAAGATTGGGATTGGGATGGTTAGGAAAGAGATGAAAAAGATTGAAGACAAGATGATGGAGGTCAGAGGGTGGGCTTGATTAATAGGGGGAGGGGCCCCACTATTAGAAGGAGGTAGGGCCTGTGTGAGGGGTACCCTTTGTGAGCTTGAACACCTTAAGATGTTGATAGAGTTTTATAAGGGAAAATGAACGAATCTAACAGGGAATGAGAAGAACAAGCAGGATGAGAAGCAAAAGGAGGATGAGAATGATGTTGACCACGGACCAGAAGATATTGGATACTGCCCAAAAAAATGTTGGATACAGCTCCTTTTTCTTCTCTGGGGGGCTGGGCTTGATTAATAGGGGGGAGGTTACTTCATCCTCTGTCAACATTAGGTGTTTTTTCCGGGCGAACTTAGAACTAAATGCAACGCACTACTCAACGTCAAGCCGCTTTTGCTACAACATGAATGGCAATGTGTGTATATATATGTATATGTATATTAAGCTAACTTCCTGGCGGACATGGAACGTATTATGTATATATATATATATGTATAGATTTGGCAATGTATATACAGATCATAGATCTATTATATATATAGATATATGTGCAGTATTGTGCAGTATATACTGTAACTTCAACCTGAACCACTCCCTGAGTAGAGGGCAGCATGCTGTAGTATCACAAGATAGCAGACCTTGACTCATGTGCTTCGGGCTCGCAGCGCAGTGCTACGATGTCACCAACTCAGTCGGTGACGTAAAGATCAGCTGCCTTCCCTTGCCTCGGTCGCATCCAAATGGTCTATTCTGCAGGTAGCTCTGCCACACTACTACTGACTATGTTTCCACGAACTGTTCCTCCAGTTTGAACCACTGATCGTCGACGACTCAATGACAACCGATCCTTTTCGATTTGCTCGATCTCAACACGCTGCATGTGTGATCGCTGGTCCATTGAAACCCACGTATTCAAAAAAAGCGAGAACGAACGCACCTGACAGAGGTGGCCAGGTGATTCCCTAGCTCCTTGGTTAATTGACCAGGTGATTCCCATGTAAATGACCAGCAAAATGCCACCAGGTGGTCAATCCTATCACCCCATAAATGGCCGGGTCTCACCTGACGCCCCCCGAGTGGCCGGCACGGAGTGAGCGGCGTTCCGGGAGGGGTTCGGGGCCAGTGGGGTAAGCAGACCAGCACCTCTCGGCCACCACGGAGAAAACAAACAAAACACAGACCAGCAGCTCCCTGCCAGGTCACCGAAACCTGAAAGGTTTGGCCTTTCCCAAGCCTCCATGCAACGGAGACCTGTTGGGTTCGGTGCTGGTATTCAATATGAAAATTTGAATATGGTGTCATCTCGCCACCTTGAAACCGTGTTAAACTAACATGAACATGACAACATATCAAATCAACAGGTCTAAACCAATAGCCTGAAACATCTGCCCCAGGGGCGGCAGCAGCCACAAGGCTAAGTCATCCTCTGGGTCCACCTTGCTGCCATGCAGATTCCTTAGGCTCACGCGCAGAAGTGAATGAGCTCAAAATGTCAAGTCGATCTTCAAAACAACTTCCAAGCATGAAGGGGGAAAAAGGCATACCAACCAATTGGTGTTTTCAACCCATTGACCAACATATTTGTCACATCTTAGTCATCGAGGTCAGTCAACCACAGGCTTGTCAATGGCTGTCGGGTTTTCAAGGCCCTCGCTGACCATCAATGACTCAGTTTCCAATATCTGACTACTTTCACGCCCAGGCTTCCAGGTACACACCCGCAGCTGTATCTCCGGTCGCTCCGACGGCAGGCTCCGGCTGGAGGGCCTCCGCAGCCACCGCGCGGTGGCGCTGTGCGCGGTCGTTGCTGAGACCTCTGAGCTGTGGGATGTTGTGGCTCTGCGCACCTGCGAGACGCCCTGGTTGAAGCTGCGCTCTGCGGAGCTCTTCGCCTTGGATAGATACGATCGGTCGCTGCGATAGATACAGTACAGAGAGCGAGCAGGCGAAGGCGACGCCAAACTGGGGAGGTGGTGGGGACCAACGTGGTGTTTGTGGTTGGATGTTGGTCGTTACAGTGGTTTGAAATGTTTGGAGTGGACCTGAGAATTGGTCAAGCGTCCTCTGTTCATAGCTTGTCTGAGGCCCAGTCAAAGTTCCATGATAAACATTCATGCGCAACATTTTGAGCATGAGCGAACAAACCAAGCTCCTCTTCCTATTCCCATCCCTGATTCCTGAGATCTCTGGGTGTCATTGTGCCTGGCTGACTTAGGCCCTTGGAGACCATATGTGCTCATCATCCCATGTCCCAATGGTTCACAAACCCCAGGCAAGCCACTGCATCCACGGCCTGAAAGAACTTGTTTCCAGCTTGCTGCAGTGCTTGCTGCTGTTCAGAAGATAGGTTGGCCCATTTCATCCAACCGTAGCCAGCCATGGCGATGCTGGAGAAGTCTTCTGAGTCAAAATGAACCCCCAACTTCTTCTATAAATATATAGATTGGTATATGTTATTATAGATTAATCACCCTTGAGGGGGGTCCACTTGAAACGGGGATCATCTTGTAGCGGTGCCCTGTGGTAGTAGATGAGCCTATGATGCGTAGTGTGGAACTTGTGGCTGACCTCAAGAACATAGCCCGATCTCATCAAGCTGCTTGGAAATTGGAGAATGAGAGAGTTTCTCAACACATCTTGGAAAAAAAGGCTTCTTCCAAATCATTATCCTTTGTTACCTAAGCAATCTTAAGCTGATCAATCTTCTGCGAGTCCAACATGGGCGAAAAAAGAATGGCTATGGATGGTTGAGGAAGGTCCACCCACGGCTGTCGACGCATGCCACCCTTGCCCTTGCCCTTCTCTTCACGACAGGGAGATGTATCTGTAGCATGTGGAACATCGCTCGAAAGAAAGCGGGATCAAACTTGGGACCTACCGCTCCTGTGACAAAACACAGCCGGTTGGGCGATTTAGGCAGCTCGACTGCTCGGCTGTAGGCATCGTGGTCACACGGTTTCCAATACATGTTCAGTGGGGATCTGCGAACCTTCTACACTCCCTGGAACTAACATGGAAGTGGAACATTGCCAAAGGAAAAGCATTTTCCGAATAGCAAACAGGGTCTTCTCCATGGGGTTCTGTTATCCCAAACACTCAAACGATATGCCATGTATGATATGCCTACATTGACCCCGACTTCAACCACCCCTGGCCGTTTCTCGGCAGTCCTATGGCAGTCCCAGACGTGTCGTGTCTGGGAATGGTCGAGTCGCTGTCCGGCGCCGGTTTCGATCGAGGTCCCGTGCGATGGCCTCGGCGACGCGCTCGCAGGAGGTGCGGGGCTCCACTTCCTCCCTGTGGCGGAAAGTGAGGTGTGTTTTTGGAGGAAAAGTCTTGTTGGATCTTTTTGGATTGGGATGTGTTTCCTTGTTATTGGATGTTATTGGATTATTGTTATTAGATGAAAATGATGAGATGAGATCTTTTTGGATTTGAGTGGGATTGTTCTCAAAGATGTTCTGAACCTCCATGACTGTTCATGTCGTGGAGGGAAACTATACTGTAAGTAGGAGGAAACATGTGCTGGTGAGTAGGGAAACAAAGGAAACATAATGAAACATAACTATACTGTAAGTAGGCTTGGGATCTCTCCTACTTCAACTAATTCCCTGGTGACTTGTCGTGTAATTAGCCTTGTCCAAGAGCCAAGAGTTGGAAAGCTAGTTTTCGGAGGTTTCATGTCAATCAGCTTGCAACCAGGTCTCTAAAGCTCTAAAACAGCTTTGCCCCTCTGAAAAAGGCTCTGCCCTGGCACCTCTTGACGCGCCGAAGGTCTCCTCTCGCACTCTCCTGCCGCTGGTTCGTCCAAATCGCGTGGATCGGACGGATTCACCTTCTCTTCACACATGGAAGGCACGAGCTGAGGAAGGAAGGGGTGCCCTACTTCAAAACCAGAACGAGAAGAGGCATCGTTGCACCTGACCCCCGTGCTTGGCATTGTGTGGTCATTTGGTGGAAGGCACCCAACAAGCTGGGGGCTGTTCGCTAGAACTTATGATGACCCCCAGGTAGATAGTAGACTAAAGGCCCTCAAAAAGCAAGAGCGATTCCCACTCCATTCAACTAATGGCGGGTCATAAGTCAACTTTCCAGTCATGTTGCATCTGCTCCCGCCTTGGGAGATCCTGACCATCCAACAAAAACATGATAGCAAAGCTTTATGTAAAAGAGAAGGGGCCCCGGATCCAACATACTTTGGGAATGCTGGGTGGTGTATGGCCCTACAGCACCTGCCGTACCAATGGTTCATAGATTCTAGCCCATGGCCAAATCTCCTGCATCTTGTCCAGCATTTGGCGTTGTTCCTCCAAGGCCCTCTTCATCTCTTGAACCTCCCAGGTTGAACTTTGGACCCGGCCATGGCGGGTGTCACGAGGAAGGCGCAGGGGTCGCAAATCATGCCGTCTGCGTCGTCTTTGGGCCTTTGGGTGAGCCGTTTCAGGTCTCAGGAAAGTATAAATACACCATCAAAAAGTATAAATACGTATAACATATAACATAGGATTAAACCCTCCATCAAATCCATTGTTTCAGGTCTCATCAACATCTATCCACCATCAAATGTGCTGTGCTGCACCCTCCAGCAAGTACCTGGCGAACGGGGATCATTGGCGACCTAGCAGTCCAGATTTCTGGATCTCATCGGCATGTGAACACACGCCGTCGCTCATGACCCAGCACATGAGCAAGACTCCCTCCTACGAGTCGGTCGAACAGGGATTCCCTCCTCCTTCCGCTCTCTCATGTGCTGTTCTTGCATCCCAGCGTCCTGGACACAGGCCAGTGGCTTGAACGAACATGTCCATCCCACCGTCCAAAACCCCTCAAAATCTGCCATCAACAGCGGGGCCAGTCATGCAAAAAAACCTCTTCAACTAACAAATGAACGCTCTAATTAAGGGGGAATGTTGGGCTCACCCCAGGGGCGAGCCATGCCGAGCCTGCAAGTTCGTTTGCACATGAAGCTGATGGATGCAAGCCCCCAAGCGGACTTACAGTAACCGCCCAACAGTGCCAACTCAAAAGAATCTGACGAAATTGACATGGACTTCTCAAACTTTACAAATTATATAGATTGTGTTTGCCAAGATTTCTCCAGTCCTTCAGCTCGGCCGACCAAAAAGAAGCCCAAAAATAAACGCAAGCGTGCTGGTCAATGAGAGGGGGACGCACAAAGCCAATTGTCTGGCTCTGTGTGTAGGGCTCTCTTTGGTCAAAGCTGGGTCGCGATCTGAAACCAACCATCTTGAGATATCTTGAGCATGTCCTAGCGTCCCTGAGAAGAAATGGTGGTGGAAGGTGGCCGTTCAGCCTCAGCCTGAAAAGATCTCTGTATACCTCGGTACACTTGGAGAGGAACAAAACCCGGGGAGAAGCCTGGCTTACGTCCATCTCCTGGCGTGTGAAGAACTTCTGAGCCTCCTGTGCGATTCAGATGCCAAGGTTGGTACGCTACAGTCATGGCTTTGGACGGGCTTCCCATAGAGAACCAGGCGCTCCCCTGATGAACATGTAGCCTGAAAAATGTTGACGATTCCAGGGTTCCATGTTCATTATCAAGAGTCGGTAGGTCGAAAAAGTGCTGTGTCTTTAACGATTTCTTAATCACACTGTCCCAAAAGTGAACGCGTCGAAAGTCTTGGACGTCCAAAGATCTGGCAAACTACATTATATAAGACAAATAATGATATTGAATTGATTGTTTTCTGTAACGAGAGGGATCATTGGACGGCCTGAAACTAGTACCGCACATCGCCTGGTCGCCACACAAAAATGATACCTGTGGATGTTGCCCAACATCGGGTCTGTAATAGCTTCTTTTTCTGCACTTTCTGCAGCATCCTGCTGCATTACATCACCTAGGAACTCACGTCAGAACGAGGCATCACTCCAGTTCCTGGCACAAACCAGACTCCGCCGGCGCAGGCTTCACCGCACCGGTCACGGAGACCGTCCGAACGCCGCCGTTGACCCGCCACGGCGCCTCTTCGAAACTGCTCCGAGCGAAGGCGATCTCCTGAGGGCCGCCGATGCAAGTCACTCGGGACCCCGGTTGGTCCGGACACGGCGGACGTGGATGCACTGATAGGGAAAATGTACATCACCCGAGCAAAACCTCAAAGAACAAAAAAACGAAAAAGACCTGTGGGTTGGTTATTGAACATGTTTGGAGCCACATCCAGCTGATGTTCCAAGTCTTGTATCCAGGTGTAGGCACTGTGGGTCATCATGATTGTCAAGCCTTTGGGCGCCGCAGTGGTCTAGGCTTCGGATCGAAGCCCACACGCAACGCTTTCCTCTGGTCAGAGCCATCTTCAATACAACTTTGACCCCTGCCTGCACAGCAGTCACAAGTTGACGGACAAATACATATATATATATAAATCTATTATAGTTGAGTTGCGATAGTTGGAGGGCCTTGACGCACCCAAAGCCAGCAAAAGAGCCGTCAAAAATAAGACCTATACAGTATAAAATTAAGACATATATATATTTTTTAAAATTAATGGTCTACCACTGCGAGAAGAAGACAAATTAGCGGTCGATGTATGTCGATGTTCCAATCCTCGACGGCTCAATCGACGCCTTTCCTCCATGGGTTTTCGCTCCCATCGGTCGGCAGCCGCCGTCATTCGCCGTCGGCCTGGGAGACCCATGAGCGCATCTCGTCCATGGCAGCATTCACCAAGGCCTCAAGATCCACCTGCGGGCGCAGGTGGATCAAGGGCGATGGAGCCAACGGCAAGCGAAGGGATGGAGTGTGAAACAAGTGAAAAAAGAAAGGCAGGGGTTGAAAACTTTTCATGGTGGGAGGTTGCATGAGGTTGCCCTGAGATATCATGAGGATGGGAATCTGCGGAGTGAAAACTCTCTCAGCAAAATCAATCAGCCTCTCACGTCTGCAGTTTCACCCTAAAGGGTCAAATGTGAAAGTTGCAGGTGCATGGATTTTGTTCAACACAAAGGCTCATCTGCCATTGTGTTGGGCTGGTGGCACTCATTGTCAACATTATACGTCTGGAAGCTTGAAACAAGCAACACTGATCAAAGCAAATCAACTGTTATTTGCAGAGTATGTGGATGATTGATGCCCCTCACCTCTCTGTCAACACTCAGAAGACGGCCTCATGCCGAAGACTTACAGGATGTGGAAGATGTTGCTTGGCCAAAGGAATCCGGCTTGGCAGGATGTACAGTACACTCTAGAAAATTAACATGGAACCTGAAAGCCACTAGGTTGTAGAGGAAAATAGTCTTCCAAAGGTCCATTTCCAGGTTCCATGTTAATCTTTCCGGGTGTATTTCATGAAGAAACACAGCACTCTTCAGCGTCCGCACCTGCAACTCTTCCCGAACGGCATCGGCCACCTGCGCGCGCGTGAACTCGGTGCAGGACGGAGCGGCCAAGGCTCTATAGCTGTGACTGAGGTGATGGCGCAGGTGTGCATAGCGAAAACATGCAACAACTTTTACAGTAGAGACTTTGGGCAGGTCTCTGAGTCCCTACACTTCCGCGCAGTCTTAAAGCACCCGGAAGAGGAAGAGGTGCTTCTCCGCGCGAAAAAATGTCTTCTGCCTTTATGCCTCGCAGCTTCACAAAGCCTTTGGGAGACCCCAAACGAGGCGTTGGGCCTGCTTTTGCTTCGCATCTGCACCCTCTGGCACTCTGCAAGGAGTGGGCGCCTTGCAAAGAACTGAATCTGATTGCGTCTCAACATCTCCAAGTCTCACGATCTCATCTGGGACCCATCATTAAAAAATTACGATATGACATATCATATTTGGATCCACGATGGTCTATTGGTGCAATGGTGTACTCGACACATCAAGTTCCTCTGTTGCAACTGGAGCATCCACGGCTCTGCAGGCTCCGCCTCCTTCAGGCGCTGGAGCTGCTTGTCCCAGTCCTGCAACTAGGATAACTAGGCGTAGGTGAGCAAGGGAGTCCGTGTCAGATGGTGCCACTTCACGTCTGGGGATGGTTTGGGAATAGATGGGAATAATTTCATCCGCTTCAATAGTGAAATATGGTGGACCCAAAGGGAAATTGTACCAAAACTAGTGGTATCTCGTGGTAATTGATTGCCGCCTGGGGGGCGTGGAAAGGCCTAAGGCCTAAACAGCGATGGCCACTCCGATGCCTGCTTTAGCAATTGCCTCAGCCAATCCAATACACATCGCATCAGTCGCGACAAGGGATGTGAAGGGGGGGTTTGCGGTCCAGACTTCACAAGTACCAATGGAAGTTCAAAAAAGCTACAAACGAAAAAGAGAAGCCGGAGTACGTGGGTTGCTGTTTTTGTGTTGCTGGTCTCACTGAGGGCACATCTCCCAATTTCACTGACCACTCGCTCCTCCACAGTCCACACATCGGCCTCCTGCCAAGCGAGAGGAAGTCCAAATTGAAAGTTCTGTCAGTCTGTCAAAATGCTCACAGCTGCATACACCAAATCACCGGAGCCGACAGGTGCCACGCTAGTAGTAACAGGTGCCAAAAGGTGGAAAAGTCTCTTGAAAGGTCGCACCGGAGCCCGCTTCTCTCCTTGGCCCGAGAAGTTGGAGCTTTGGACATGCTCGAGGGGGCCTCAGGTGACCCGAGATCTGCCGATGCTCCGGTCGTGGCTCCGGATTTGAGTGAAACCCATCAAATGTTGTTTAAAACAACTGGAGACTCCAGAACTTAACATGACTTGCACTCCCCACATCCATATATCCTGACAACTGCTGAACTGACTCCATTTCGAACCCGTCCACTGCAGGCGCCCGGCAGTGGACCCGTCCACTGCTGAGTCTGGAGACCTGCGATGCCACGGACGGGGGCCACCGACCCTACTCTAGGACTCTGGACCCTCTCCAGGACTCCCTCCCGGAAGAAAGGCTCAACGATATGAGATCATCTGGCTGGTTTCGTCATGGTTTGCTGCTCCCCCCGAGGCCCCATGGGAGCTCGGTGGACCAAATCCGAACAGACGAGGAATCTGTGACAGAACTGATCTGGGGTTGTGCCCAGGGTGCCCCGGTCTTGACCCAACGGATGGATAGGATAGGCCAGAAAAGGTCAGAACATGTTCGCCCCTATAGTCATTGTGGCCACGAATTCTCTCGTCTCGTGTCTCGTTTTTTGGCCAAGAGAGAAAAGATATGAAACAACGGGTCAACCACTGGGTGATTGAGTACACGCACCACGGGATGTTGTCACGGGATGGGATGGGACTAGCTGGGCCTGGGATGCACCTGCGCCGCGCCCTTTGAAGAGCAAGGCTAAAGGCTTTCATTGGGTTGGTTTAAGAATGTTTAAGGGAACATCTGCAGGAAACAAAAAAAGGAAACCATGGCTTTCATGCCCAAAACCATGCTTCCTCAAAAATGTTCGCCTTAAACATCATCCTTAAGCCAATGCGGGCAAACAGTTGTTGAACTTGTGGGATCTTCTATGAGTCTATGATCTTATTTTGACATTCCCTTGTGGAATACCGAGAACTAGTAGAATTCATCTACATGGTCCTCTGTCCAAGATCCCGTTGAGAACCAACTAACTAACATGAGATGCGTTGAGCCATCGCGATAGCCCCCTGACTCGGCCCCTGTCACAAGTGAGAGACCAGGTCTACCTCGCTTGTAGGCTATGACCTGTGCATGGCATCTCCTTGCCTCTCCACTGTCCATGGCATCCATGACCTGAGAACGTGCTTTTCGGCTGCGAGGATGGTCCACTGGACTCGGAGACGTGCAGGTCAGCAGGTCACCGGTTGTTCCGAGCAAACGACGTGACTCGTGCCGACGGGTCCTGGTCCCAGGGTCCTTTCTTCACCGAGGGTCGGGACACCGACGTCGTGACAGGTCCTTTCACTTCGAGGACGTCTCTGGAGAGTTTCCAAAGCTGAAAGCCCTTTCTCAATGCACACCCACAAGAAGCAAATTGGAACATCTAAAGCTCCCAATCTCCCAACCTCCTGCAACTTCCAAAGCTCAGCGACCTGTTTAAAAACCTGTCCCGGAAAATAAACTAACAACGATGAGGACGACGACCTTCTGGAGTGTTCCATGTCGCCGGCGAGGAGCCCAAACGAGACTGACACTCCACTCACCTTTCCAGTGGGGCCCGACTTCATTGAAGACATGGGACTGACCATCAGACTGACCTATTGACATGGGGATGGTTTCCAGGGAACTCTTCCATACCAGGACCCCCAATCGGGGTGGTGAATGGACACCCCGGAATCACAGCTACTTGTAGTTGGGGCTATAAATAGACACCCCTACTTGGAGGGTCCTGACCACATGGATGCTCTACATGGAACTCTTGAGCCCCCCACGACCCGACCCGCCGTTCTCCGAGGCGCGGCTCTGGAGGGAGGGCGCCTGAGGGAGGGGTCTTCTTGCGTTTCATCGTTGGATCTCGGGGTGCCGAACGAACGGAGGAAGGAGGTGCCCGGTGCCCCGTCGTCACATCCACTTTCGCCCTGGATGCGACTCAAAACCACCCCGAGCTCTGTGACTCCTGGTAGACAGCAAGATCCATCTTTTCAAGGGCCTTCGATCGGAAAGAACAAGGAAGAACCAAAGAAAGCATTCTACGTTGGATGTGTGGTGGGATGCTTCGAACCAGTATGAACCATGGTCAATGTCGCGATGGCACGGCTGGCATGGAATTGGATTCCAGGAGAAAACAACTAAGTAACAACAAACAACAGTATCCAACAATACCTTTAGTCTGGTGGACCCTCCCTCAGACTCAACCAAGCTGCATTTATGCAACGCAAACACCTGAACCCAAGGCGTACAACTCTGTCTCTTCTCCAGTCCGAGCGCTTGCGGCTTTAACTCCGTGGACCCCGGCCATCCACGTTCAACGAGCGCACGGCAGAGGAGATGGGCCCCACGTCATCCTCCGAGTCGTGGCCGATGTCATACACCTCCGGCGCGGGGTTCGCGCGGGCTAGATTGGAGGCGGGAGGGGTGAGTTGATGCGGAGTCCATGTTGCCTGAAGAGGGTGCGTCGGATGGAGGGAGGGGGTTTCAACACACCAGTGTTCAATAAGGTGCCGGCAGTTCAGTCACAGTGCCATTACTGTCCTTATGGCTGGCTCCTCATCAGTCCACAAAAGAAGAAACACCGACCACGAGTACCACTATCCACTATCCCCAAATTCGCCATGTAGCATGTGCTCAAGGATTCAAGGATTCCAAGGTGGGTACCACCACGACACTTTCAAGAAGTGATGAATTTGATGAGTCAGCCCTGCCAGTGCCACCGCGCGGACTCGAAGCTCGGCACCCATCCCAGGCCGTCCCAGCCACCAAAGGTTCGATGTGGAGAGGTCGTTGAGTTGACTGACGGCAAGTAGACGAGATCTTCCCTATCATGGAGAATTTGGGGAATATGATGTCATGATGTGGACTGTGAAGATCTTCTGGTTCAGCCATGTTCAGCCTATAGTAGACCCAAAGCCCTTCAAGCTATATGTGGAATATGTTGTGGAATAATATGGCTTATAGGCTGTATCTTTAGATATCTTGAGGCATCCATGAGATAGATAGCGTGCTATGCCGTCTATCGCCAAAACACTTCAGTCATGATAGGTCCATCGGCATGCATAGCCATAGAATGAAGAGCCTGTGTTTCGCCAATGGCGTGTCCAAGCTGTTGCTTCGCCAGGGGCTCTGGCTGTTGGTGCCTATTTCAATCCCATGAAGCCTGCCATGTCGCGCCCACCTCGGTGGGCGTGTCGGAAGACTGCGTCCACTGGGCCGAGCCTGGCGAAGAGACGAGTCGTGAGGTGAGTTGTTCTGTTCAAGTGAAGAAGACATAAGAGGACCAGAATGGCTTGCAACGACTCGACCCCATGTTTTTATGTCTTTTGAAGATGAGAGGTGGGGGGTGCCCCGGAATGGAGGAGAGGTCAGTCAACCCCCCTTGCAAAGTAATCGGAGCCGGCTGCGAGGGACAGGGTAAACTCCTGATGGGAAGCCCAAGTTCCTACAGGCCACCGATGAATAGCAAAAGTTTGCTTGGACCAAAGGGTGTAGGAATCATAAACATCATAAACTCTTAGTGGACAACGAGAAGATGTGGACAGGAAAATTACGAATGGGATGGCTAGGACACTTCTGAGAGCCAGGGATTCCTTCATGGCTGTATGTCTATTATGGCCGTGTATGCTATTCAGAAACGTTACCATCCTTGCCACACTTCGCTCGTCCAGCCTCAGCATCGGGCGTGAATTTTCGACACCAAGAGGCCGCTGGCCCCACTACACGGTGGCCCCTCATCCACCCACGACCCCTCCAAAAAAATATCCGACCTCCAGAGTACAAGTGTCCCAAGTGCATCTCAGTCAGTCCAGGACTCTCTCCAGTCATGTCAGCAATAAGAATTCAAGGCACTGACCTGTAACCTGCTTGGTTCGGTCACTTAAGCCTCCTAAAGGTCACTTAGGAACCTTCAAAAGGTCAAATTGAAGAAGCTGGGAGATGCACTGAATGTATCATCCACATCCTCTCCTTGCGGGCTTGTCGATGCGCCCAGGCCCTTGCGCGCCGGTGTCACCTTAGTGCCGCGTGTCGGTGTAGTACCGTTGGTATACGGGACGAACGTGTCACCAAGCTAATTAGACCATGCACCCAGCATTTGTCAAGTACTTTGTCTAGTGGGAAGCATCTGGAGCCTGCGGAGCCCGAGGTGAGAAGCCCCTGAGGTGAGAATCCAGAATTCATCGGTGGCCCATGTTGCCTCACCGGGCGCTACTGAACGCCTTCCTGCTGAGTGCTGCCTCGGCGCGGTCTCCATGGGGAACATGAACTCGGCGCGGGGGAAAGCTAGAGCCAAATGGTCGCGAACGCCGCGCGGACGGATCTCGAGGACGGATCGGTCACATCCAAAAGACTGTCCCAAGAGGCGTCTGACTGCGGCACAGGGGTGCCATAACTGCTCAGAAACCGGTGAACCTCTTTGCTCTATGCCAATCTCATAGTCTTAGGCCAGCTTTGGATCATGATCGGGACGCCTCGATGAACACAGGCCGTGTGCAGTGACCGATCAAATGGGTGGCCAATTATATAACAATTGTTGGAGCCCCCCAGGCCAGGCATCTTCTTACGTCATCTTGTTTCAGCGCAGACCTCCCCGGCGGAGAAACCTCCTCCGCGAACCCCGCACCGACACTCCGCTCAACTCCCGCCGGTGGTTCTCTTTTTCTGGTCGCGGGCAGCCGTCACCCACCGGGCGCGATGGTCATCCTGGAGGGAGGCTCACCTCAGGGGTGCGCGCTCGCTCCCCCCCAGCGAAGTCTGGTGGGCCCTGAGCTGGAAAAGAAAGGTTCGCCTCGACGGTCGACCTGTTGGACCTGATTGGGGAAACCCACTCGCTCCCCAACAAGTACAGGTTAGGTTGTCCACTGGCTATGAGGCCATGAGGCTGGTATGCTGGCTGTAGGGCGGTGTCCCCAGGTTGTAGTTTCGGAAACGCTCGAAGCACATCTATTCTGATCTGAAAATCCTGGAAAATGAGGATGATCCCGCCCCCTATCACTCATACACTGGGTGGGGTGGATCCACCACTGTATGGCCATTGAGCATGTTGCCTTGAATTGATGTTTCCAGCTTCCTGTACCAAATGTCTGATCAACAACTGTGGCGCCAAGGAACGCATGTAGCCTCCGCCTGGTGCAAGTGCTTCGCCAGCAAACTGCACCCCTCCCACCACACCACGCCATTGTCCACCCTGAATCTCGTCCCGTGGGTCCTGTAGGGTGGCAGGTGGCTCGACTAGCAAGTGATTAGAGAACTCCCTGCAGTTTCCTTGGCTATCCTTGGTTCCCTTCGGGAAAATTTTGGCACCCCGATCGCACCCGATCGTTCCCCCTTAAGCACCGGAAAACACTCAGTGTGGTTCCAACTGCAGGTTCACAACAATTGGAACGGACGGTGAAACTATGAAACAATTGGGGGGCAGGTTGATACCATTTCGTTGGCCATACTGCCATACTGTCCTAGCCACGATTAATTATCCTAGGTCCTAGGTCCTAGTGCAGTCAGTTCGACAGGACGAAATGCAATTCACACTGCAAAAAGGAGTGCGTTCCACCATGGCAAATTCCGATGAAGTAAGTACAAGACCCCACAAGACTTGCAAGAGTAAGTAGTATATAATTCAATCGAATCAAGACCCCGACGCGCACAGTTTGTTATGTGATGTGCTGGGTCCATCATGCGGTTCAACCATGTTCACTGCCATTTCAAGAAATAGCTGGAACGAAGACAAATCAAAACCAAACCATTATATAGGTGCGCAGCAACTGAACTGACGAAGCATAGCGACCGGACACTGCTCTCTAGGGTCCGCAGGTCCATGCATGCCCAGACTGAGCTCGCACTCGCTGTGACATGAGGATAGCGTGGAGGAAGGAGGAGAAGGAAAACAACCATACACACCGGTCCACCGCACCGGTCCAGCAACACCTCAGCAATAACTGTTAAAAACATATCGCCACATGCAAGAATCGAGCCGAAACACTTAAGTTCACCGTTGGTGCTGGACTTGGCCGAATGAGCAATAGACACTCTCAAGCACATCAGGTGCACCGTCAGTCCTCTCCGGCCCAGACGGGGGGGCTTTCTCCGGCACCCAGGCGCACCAACCGGGACACGGCGCAGCCGTCGATGATGTCTGTGCGGACATACATGGAGGTCCTGCATGATTCTGGTGCCCCTGGTGATTCGGGTGATCACACGAAATAGTTTATTGTAAATGGATAGCCCACAACCTCAGCTTCAAAAAAAGCCATCAGCCCAATGTTCTGGGATTGGCTTGGAAGTTGTGAAAACGTGGCCGTTGGATCCTGAAAGACATCCACTGCCAAACTAGGAATCAGCGTGGCCAGCCAGTTCATGTCCATGCGGCCCTTCAGTCTAAGGTACCACTAAAGCAACTACAGTATTTATTGTTCATCTGGCCAAGCCCTCCTTTTGGTTCAAAGCCTTCCTTTACTGGCACCATATATGCTCCCGTTGTTTCCATGTTTGGGTCGGGTCTTCAGGAATGAATTCAATGGTCCCAATCGGTACATCCAGCCTAAACATCGATAAACGTGCCTTTGATGGTGCCCAACGGCAAATCATGGCAGAACAAACAAACACACAAACGCATGAGTTTAGTGTCACCGTATGCTGACGTAAGTGGACTTCATCATAATACTGCCGAGAGAAAACACCCGAAGAACCAAAGGTACCATTACGTAGAAGGTTATAGCATTATAGTTAACAGCCATACATGTGAATTGACGGTCTTTGACGATGAAGCTGGCCTCTGAACTGATTCGACACCGCAATTCATGCCGACTTCAGATATCCAATAGAACACCACACATCGATCCATGCACCACCTCCACGCACCGGCGACGAACGGTACCGGTTGTCCGTCCGGATGCCCAGCTGGATGAACTCATCCGTGAACTTCTTGGCGAAGTCATCCAATGGATCCCCCACCAAGTCCTTCATGGAGGTCGCCATGGCCTTGAGCCTCGCAACAGGCACAAAGATCTCCAAATAACGAAGTGAAACATCATTTTGCTAAAGATGCTAAAGGAACTGAGGAACATCCAGAAAACCATCAAATATACTGTAATATACTGCTATCATCCACTTCTTTCATCTCTCTTCCTGGAAAGGGCCGGAGGGGGTGGTCATTTCGCACCACCCATCAGTTGAAGCCCCAAACGACGCGTCCGATCCTCGCGGACGCGCCTGAAGCGGTCCGACTCCCTGGCCAGCTCATTGAGCTGTCGCACCTCCTGGGGCAGTTGACCATAGCTGGGCCCAAAGCGGACCCAGCTCACCGTCATCCAGTCCTGCGCTGGCTGCCCGAGCCTACTCCCTCAGCAAGGTGGAATTCATGGTGGAAGTCGTGCGTGCTCTTTCGCAAGGCTTCGGTGCTCTTGGGCAATGCTTGGGTCGTTTGCATGGACATCGCCCTTTTTTCGATGGTTGTTGTTGCTGCTCGTTGGCACCTACTCGTTTGCCTTAAGGGACAAGCTCTACCAAGTTGGCCGTTTGGCGCATCTCGGTCGTATTCCACCTCCACAGGGGCGGATCCAAACTCCCTCAAATCAATGATGTCCTGAGAGCGAGCACGGGAAAAGCATGGAGAAGCCAGTATATCACCAAAAAAGTAATCACATTAACTTATATATATCTTGCTAATATAATATATATATATATAACTTTCGTTATGATCTCCAAGCAAAAGGCCGCTGAAAACTGGTGATCTACCAGTTGAACCCCCCCAACTGGAAGAAGAGAGAGAAAACACTTTGAGGGCTGGCATTCATTCATCCAACGCAACTATGACAAATGCATGGTGGTCCACGACAGGCACTGGGAGGCACGAACCACTTCATGGCCGCACTCTGACTCAGTGGAAAATGGTCCCTTGGAAGACGCTCATGGAGTCTTATATGGAGGGGTCGGGGGTCGAACCAATACGGTTTTGAGGGACCGGGGCTGTGGGTTGGAAGACTACACTTTCCTTTACACAGAGGGGGATCATCCCACTTAGTGAGTCGGAGTGTACAGTGCACTTTCTATTTTTTCTCGGGGGGTGAAGTATATTACAGTAGTTGTTTTGCCCTGTGGGCCGGCATCTTGGCCTAATTATATACCAAGTCTTTGATGCGCATCCAGCGAACCACCCAGCAGCAGCTGACATTCTGTGAACATCCCTGTCAAACGGAAGCCTTTTTTAGGCCAAGCATCGGTGGCGTAGTGCGGCAAAGTGGATATCCGCCAAACCTTGCACAAACGAACGACTCACTAAAAGGCATTTCTGTCCTTCATTGTTGGGCAGCCTGGAAAATGCCATCACTTTCAAGCGCTGCTGCTTTATGTGTTGTACTTCTTAAAATCTTTATATATATATAACTTACCGCGCTCAAATCTGTGCTGAAGTTCGGCAACACTGGGCATTCACAACTTGAAGCACACGCACACCAGAACAAACAACTTCTGCCGAAAGGCGTGGTAAGGGGCGCCGGGCTTCAAGACGTTGTCCTTAGGTGGCTCGTCTGACATTGTCTGACACTTGCGTTTCCCGCGAAAACCAACGCTTTGGCTCCTTCCTGGCTGATTTCAGATGCCCAAGGAAAGTTGAAGGTTGAGGTGGGGTCCGCCTCCTTTTTCCACAAAATGCCTTCTACCTGGGCCACGCTGTTTACACCGTTTGCTGATATACTTGTTTGATCTTCTTTGAATCCCCGCAGGTGAAACAAGCTCTGACAAACCCTGAAAAGAAGGGTCTCCAACAGTTCTTTGAGCGCTTTCTGACGAGCGCTGTGGGCGAACCGTGCAGACGACCCAAGCAGGGCACCGCGATGACCACGGCATTCTCGGCCATCAAATTTAAGCGTTCCTGGGAAATGGTCAGGGCTTGAGAAACATGTTGACACGGAATGAGACCCCAGACATTGACTCCAATGTAGGCATATATTATATATATATGCGCTATGGCATATACATGAAGTGTCTGGGGTCTAGTCTTATTTCTAAAATAGTTGGAGAATGTTGGAGATTTATAGCTGTGCACCGATCCTGAGGGTCCAAAGGGCGCGCTGTTCAATGGATATTTGCTCGCCCACCCACCAAGTGGGATCTGCCATGACTTTGGCTCAGCATGCCGTTTAAGCATTCTTGGTGTCCATATTTGTTAGTACTACACCACAGACTGCTAAAGCGTAGCCAGAAGCAGTTTTCCTGGACCCTTTGAGTTGCTCAAACAACACGCTGATATCATTGGCGGGTGCGGAACAACACACTTGAGTGTGCTCAAACAACACACCGTCTTGGACATCCGTTTGGTGATCTCCAGGTCTCAATATGTGTCATTTCCCTGATGCCCTACCTGTCAGTCGTAGTCAGTCGTAGTCAAATCTTCTGGAATATCAAAGGTTGTAGTCAATCGTGTGCCCTAATCGATGGATTTTTTTGAGTCTGCCTTTGCTCCTCCCTGGGGTCTGCCTTTGAATCTTTCCTCTCGAATGCACGTCCACATGGAACGTCAAGTCTCCAAAGTCTTGAGATCGTCATGAAAGGCCTCAGCTGCGGCGGGATCGTTAGGGTGTGATCGCGGGCGGCTCACCCAAGCTGAGGGAGATGAGTTGGCACTTAGTGATTTTTGTTCTGCAGACTTGGATGGAGAAGGCCTTGATTTGGATAGCAAGGGGCATCATCAGCAGTCTTGCTCAGCAAGGCCCGGAAACACATGGAAAAGGCGAACATAATTGGAATAAGCAAGCAATCATGACGTTCCATAAATCCTTCTTACAGTCTTTGATGTCAGCAGCCAATGCAAAAGCACAAAACTCCAAGGAGGCAAGCACTCCCGAATTTCTCACGTCTGATGGCACCCTGAAAGACCGTTTTCCTCTAGCTTCACATTCGTCGTTTTTAGGGTCCATGATAGTTTTCAGCTGGGGTAATTGCATTGTTTGAAGTCTTCAAACACGGTTCCGACCGCCGCAGCTGAGCCAGCCATCTCATTCAGACCTCTTGCAGCCATGGGTCAGTGCCACGTTGATCCATGAACACCTTAAGATGGCAAGGATAAACATCTGGAGAGACTGGACGAGAGGTGCATGGGGTTCATCTGATGCACATTGATCCACTCACCAAAGTTCACCAAAATCCTCAACACCTTTCGACCTCTGATCTCGCCTCCCTCCTCTTCACTTCCACCACTCCAAAATGCCACCCCCACCCTCCATAGTCAGCTCAATCAGCTTACAAGTTGGATCACCCAAACCCCCTTCCAACATCCTCTATAGACTCTCTAGCATCTTCCTCCTCCAGTCCCGAGACGCGTCAGAAGCCGCGCGGCCATGTCCACCGAGTGCGCGCCGAACTTCTCCAAGACCATCTGCACCGCGTCGTCGGAGTGGCCCAATTGGACCATCACGGCGTGAGACAAGCCAGCCATCTCGATGTGGTTCCGGGCCTCGGTCCGAGGGTCGAAGACGAGCTCGGACGATGATGGTGATCGAGCGGGGCCTGGCGCGGGCGGTAGGAGAGAACCGGGTCGGAACTGAGGAAGGATAAAAGGCCCATGGTGGTAGGAAGGTCTAGTCTATAGCACCAAAGAGGAACTAAAAAGATTCTGAAGTAGGGTTCAGAGTTCGGAAGGTCAGCGAGATTCCAGCACAGCTACGAGGTTTTACCATGGTTAAGTGTGGTGGATCCTTTGGTGGACTAGGAGATTGGGATTTCTGTGCAGTTTCAGAACTAAGCGCTTCGAATAATTTCAATCAAATCGCTTTGTCTTTTTCGTGGCACATGTCGCCATGTCGCCCACAGAGATGGACAAATTACTAAAAAAGGTTCCGGGCGGGCAAAGGCGCACAAAAAGCCAACAAAAGCAGAAGGCTTGGACATCAAGTCCAGGAGAAAAAACATAAGAGAAAAACGGCTCCAAAAATCCCTCCAAAATGCCACAGGCCCAGAAGACTCTAAGCACCTTCTGTCGCCCAAACCTCTCCCGAAGACTCTCCGAACCAAACCGGACGACCGGACCCGTCCCGAAAAAGTGGCACCGAGCCGCGATCGTCGCCTTGGAGGGGGACTGCTCAAGAGCTGTGAGCTGTGACTCTCTCCCACAGACCCAAGAGAGGTAGGCCCGTAACCTGGGGTACCTATGGAATAGTCTATAATAGAGTCTATAAGGTCCTTCAACCTCTGTTGGTGACATGGTACACTGCGCCTGCCTGATAGAGCCCCCATAAGGTTCCAGTAGCAAGAGCCATGGGTAGAAGTAGAATGAGCCCACCGGTCTTCCAAGTGTGTGCGAAGTCTGATTCTCCAAGTGTGTGCGAAGTGGGGCCGACCGAAGTTCCGTATCTTAAGAAAACACCTCAGCCATGCTCCAACAACTTGACCGCAAGTTGAGTGAGAACATGTAAGAACACGAAAGAAAGGACCAGGAGGAAAAGCGGTGAGTCTTAGAGAGTCTTAAAGAGTCAACTGAAAAGCTCTCCAAGGATTTTTGCGGATGTATCCGGAACCCTGATCAGAAGCCTCCAAAACCCTTCAGTTTCTCCTAAATATCGCACTCCATCAACAAGGTCACGGCATCACCCGTCAGGATCTGCGAGGTAATTTGCTGCTGCTGGGTCAGGCAGCCTCAACCACCCGCCCATGGATCAACTTTCATGGGCCAAAAATGACAGCGACCCCCCACCACCGACCCGTTTGGTTCCAAGAACGTCCTGACCCCCACCCAAAAGGTGTGTGTCAATTTGTCAATCGAAAAGGACCATGTATCGTCGCCCATCTAAAGACCACCCGAAATCCGTGGATTCCGTGGTTTCCTGGGATGCTGGGATGCTCCTCGATGTGTGGAGCAACGACCTCTTTGTCTTCAAAACGGCAGAGCCCTCCACCACCCGGTCCCTCCACCTCCACCTCCTTCAACGAGGTCACGTTCACCGGATCCATCTCCATGGTCACCACCTTGCCACCCCAGGCGTCCACTTGCAAAGCCATGCGCGTGGACCTCACCAAGGGGGGGGGTGGGCGAGGGACACGGGACACGGAACCAGACCGGACCAGACCGTGGCGGTCGAGCGGAAAACGGCCTGGGAGAGAGAAGCCAAAACACCACTGGAGCGTCCAGGACTGATGATGTTTATGTCTGCTCAAGACGGTTCCAAAAAAAGGGGAGTGGTCTGATTGAGAGTAGCCTGAGGGGCCTTGGTCAATCAGCAAATAGTTCCATGGGTCCAAAGGTGATCTGTTTGTTGGGTTTCGAGACCACAGTTAAATTGGTGGAGAGGAAATAGTTGGATGATGTTGGATGGCTGCCCAGTTTCAGGAGAGGAGATGTTGGCCTTGTGTATGCAATCTTCCATTTCATCCAAAGTGAGATCCAAAGGGATCGATTTGGGTGAACAGTTCACCTTGGCACGCTCCTCAGCGTGGCGTCCTTAATAAAACGATATCTTGTGAGTGGATGTCAGTGGTAGGAACATATCATGACATGCTCAATCGGTTCTTCTCCAAATCGGTTCCAGTGATTATAGCCGATTAGCCCAGCCCTTCTGGCCCCAGTGATTAGCCTGGTTTCAAGAAGTAGATGGCACTGGCACCCCTAGGTCCTAGGTCAAACCATTCGAATGAAACCACTGTAGATCTTCAATGCCCAGTGGCGTATAGCCGACATAGGTGCCAAACTCCAAGATCCTGGGCACTGACGACTCTCGACCTCCGACCGACCTTCTGGTTGGAAAACCACCACCCGTGGAACTGCACCGCGCGGTCTTCCTTTTCAAGACAACTAAAAGACATCCGTTTTTGACCGGAAATGCTGCATATGTCATATGTTCCATACTTGTTGAATATCGACCCCATCAGCCAAAACCTGAGGCTGGCCCGCCAGTCAAAAAAAGCAAAGCTCGAAAGCTCAAGAGATTCGGCACCCCCCCAAAAAAAAGCAGAGCTCCAAGCTTCAGCTTTGGCCGTTGCTTCGCAATGACATTGTCGATGACACAGGCCTCTGGGGTCGGGTCTTGCAAGATGTTTGATCGTGAGCTGACTCAATTCTGCTACCAAACACTTCCTCCAAGTTGAATTACAAAGTCACCAACGGTCACATTTCATCCAAGTTCTGCTACTCACATGTGTTCTCTTGTTTTTGAGGCACAAGCAGTTGGAGTGACATTACACAAGATTCATCAAATACAGTCCCACCGAGGCGCAAGAAGCTGATATATAAGCTGTGACCCAGTCTTTCCGCGCCTTCTCACCCCCGGCAATCTTCAGCCACACCTCTTTGAGCCCCACATTCTCAATGGCCGCATGGACCTGGGTCGAAGGCATGCCAAGTATGTGATTGGTTCGCAGCATTGTTGGATGGTCTTGCAAAACTATAAGTTGACCTATCTCAACCAGGCAGTGATCCCAACATATTACTCACCAAAATTCGAGAAAAGCTAGTTTGCCAACTTCACATCATGTGCAGCCATGACGTGGGTGCATGTGGATGAAACATTTGCATGTTTGCAAAGCCCCAAGGTCGCAAAGTGAACCCTCGTATGGAATAAATTTCAAACCCTAGGGATCCAAGTACCTTCTCAGAAGGTGTTTGGGGTGGCTGTGGAGGGTCCAAGTGCCTTCTGAGGAGGTATTTGGATCCCTAGGGAATGATCCGATGAACCTCCAGTCACCGTTCGGAGAATTCGATTCGTTGTCGCATCGCCCCTGGGTTGCCCGGCACTGGTCACGTCGCCTGCCCGAGCCTCACGTACCACGGTCTCTAGGACGCTCGCCTCCTGAGAGTCATATACGTGGTCACTGGGCTGCCCAGATTTCAAACACCATGTATATACACCTGGCAAGATTCACATGGAACCGGGCTTGGCCTGGACCAGACTGGAAGGCGTCTGTTCCTCTACAACCCGACACTAACCCGACATGGTTTTCAGATTCGTTGGTCCCTTCCAGGGTCGTCAAATGAGTGGACCCAAATCTCGGACGACCGAGGGACCGACCCAAAGAGGATGGTGAGGGGAGAGGTCGGCCCCTGGAAGCTCCTTTCCAACCATTCTGAACCGACCTGGGGGTGGGCCGAAGACTGTGTCCCAAGCCTCATATGTCGATCTTCACCCCTCAATTCTTCGAATCCGTGAATTCACCACCCTTCTGTTGTTCCCCCCATCCGGACCTCGTCACACACGAAAATAACAGGTCACAAGGGCGAATACTGATCGTCTCTGACTGTCATGAGGTGCGATCGTAAACTGGATCCGTCGAACTGGGTCGAACATGGTCGAACTGGATCACTGCTTGGATTTGCTTAAGGCACCTGGGAAAAAACATGAACATATTCACCAGAAGATCCGGAAGGGGATTTACTATGGATTTACCATAGGGAAATACCAACAATTCACCTGGACCGCAAAATCAGGACTGGATCGTAAACTGGAGAGATCTATAAAACACATCACTCTCAGATCCGTCATTCTCAGTGGGTGGCAAAAAAGAAAAAAAAGCAGAGATGGATCCAAGAGTGTAAGTAATGCACTGGGCTGGGGAGGCATGCAAGTGCCTAGCGCTTCTTCAGTGGGCCTTTGGCATCCTCTTTGGGAGCGATAGACTGCCATAATACTGCATCATATAAATCAACAAATCCATAGGAATATGTGACCTTCGGCTGCAATTTCTCAGGAAGTTGCGGCACAGACTTACATTGAGCCCAATGTGAACAAGTTTCGACAACGTTTAAATATGTCTAATATGATCTATAGCCTGTTGTAGCCTACAATGAGAAACCATCGCCCATCACAACACACACATTATATAACAAACTGCATCAAACTGCCATCACTCCGTAATTACAACATTCCATCCTGCGGCCTGCGACGTTTTCGCATGATTTCACTCGGTGTTCTATGACCTTGGTACCGCTTGATTCGATACCCATCACCAATCCTGACGATCTCCCATCTAACCAGCAAAAATCGTGATACAAAACTGGTCCTTGTAGTGAAAGTCTTCGTAGCGCGACTGGCAGTTGGGCCGCCGTCGGATGGTGATGTCGAGGATCTCAGCAGGCTCCAGCTCCGCCTGGCACCCGAGCGCAGCGGCTAAACCTAAGAGGCGAGGCAATTGACATGGGTCCTACTGATGGATTCCGATCCCCCCTAAACCAGGGGAATCAGGCTGGGAGCCTGCGAACAGTAAGACACATGTTGGTGAACTTGGTTGGCACATGTTGTGTTTAACTTTGGCACATGTTTCTGCAAAGTGCCAGCGCGCGCTTCATTGGTGTTGGATGAAGGTGGACAATGTGTATGAATGACATGACTTTAGGATTGATGAATGATCTTACGTTTTGACATTGCGGAAAAGGTCCTCCTTGCAGGTCCTCGCATCCTTTACTCGGTGTTGGCTTTCAATTGGCCAGGTGGGTGCTGGCATTCTGCAGCATGCCTTGGAATGTTTTTAGAGAACTTGAACTTGTAACCCTATTCCAAAAGGCTACTGATCTGTCACTCACAACATTTGCGATCTTGACTCCCTTGCTGAGCCGCTCAATCCAACCAATCTGCTGCCCCTTCAAACGCGCCAGCCACACCATACCGGACCCCATGATGCCCAAACCAAACCCAGCCACACGCTGAATACATCGCACACCCGACCCTGCCCCACACCCTCCTTCCTTTTGGTCTCACGCCGCTGGAGCTGCACAGGTCAACTGATCCATCTCTAGCCTTGTTTCGGGCCCCACCACCGCGCAGCTCAGCACGCGCCCCTCCGCCCCGTGGATGCTCACGACGTGCAGCCCATCTTCGCCAGGTCTGAAGACCGGACGGATGGCCTGGCGGGCGGCCAGCCTGTTCCGTTTTGTTGTGTTGCTCTCTAGTCTTGACATGCCAAAAAAACGTGTAGTGTTGTGCGCCAATAGGTTTTTCATAAGGTTTTCCCACAGTTGGGGGGCGCTGTTTTGACATCCCGGGCGTGTCTTCACTATATATTATATATATAGACGCATATAGTCATCGAGTCATCCCACTGTACCTTGCCAACTCAATTTCACAATCAGTTACCAGGCTGTCCTTGGACAGAACCCAAGCTCCAAGTCCCATCCCACATGGTCAGCTCCAGTCTCTCATTGTGCTTTCGCGCCTCCGCATCCGATGCCGAGGATTGGAAGGTCAAACCTTTCCAGATTGGTTTCATGGCACAACGGCTCTTCTGCACGTAGCCTTGCCAATAGTCCAGAACCTCATGGAGCTTTGGCCATGTGGAGAATTGACGACAATGACCTTACGAGCTAATTTTCCCGCAAGATCCTGCAAGCCCCTTCCAGCCTGTTATGCAGACTCTTGCTTCAAAACACACCCTCCGAGACATGGATTGTAAAACTTCTTCAGGCCCGAGGGGGTTGAACTGACTATCAACCGTCTACATTTCTATCATTGTCGTACCTGTACCCACTGACTGTAGCGCGTGGCGTCCTTTCGCAATATCGACGTACCATCCATCTACAGCTGTTGCCTCCTAACAGGTCCGGCTACATAGAGGCCTCCCAGAAGAAAAGAACGCAAAAGGATCTTCATGGATGAAGAACATATTCAATGGCCCAACCCAAAATACAGGAAGAGCTTTCAACAACCATTGGAATGATTTGGAGCTCTTTCTGTGAGTCCAACCACCTGTGTATTTTGAGTTGTTGTTCTTCCCATGCGCATCTTGGGAATTCCGGCTGGGCCTCGTCATCCAGATCCAGGTCTTCTTCCTCCGCCACATCTTGTAGCGTCGCCGCATCAGGTGCCTGCGCTGCCAAGGTGCCAAAGAAGACCTGCAGCTGCTGCAGCATCTCCTGGCCGCGACAGGTCTTGATGGGGTCTCAAATGCTTGAAGGATGCAACCCCTGGGTCATTTGGCTGAATGCTGGGTCGTCTTGGCCAGTCTTGGATGATTGAATCACTACTCACTGGAAGTGATTTTTCAATAAGATTGCCAAATCTATACCCGATCAATCCCCAATCACTCTTTCAAAGCTTTGAATGTGTTTGTGGCTCCGCTGTGCTCAGCCTCAATCGAAATCAACCGGCTTGCCACCGCAGCCACCCAGGCTCCTCATCGCGGACACCGCCTGGGTGACCGTCCGATGCGACCGCCTTCGGAACCACTGGGATCATCTGCCTTTGCGGAGTGCCTTCAGTGTAGGTTCCCTGCCTACCATGCCGGGGGTTTGGCCAAAAAAACACAACTTCCGCCAATCCCACGCGCCCCAACCACGGCATATGGCGGTGTTCGAACCGGTTGGAACGTCATAAATCCGCGAGCCCACCTTTAGAACAACTTTGAACCAGTCAACTACATTACCCAATGTCAAGTGCATGGGCCAATACGTGGGCTGTTCATGTGCTCCCGCGTTCTTGATCTGCCCCTGATTAGATTGAAAGCTCATTTGAAGTCAACGAAATGGTCTAAAGAAAACTAAACATGACTTTAGAATCAACACAGTGGCGTATCAATCAAATGATTGCTACACCAGCAGTCACAAGACGGGGTGCCGAACTTGGAGGATAGGGGTGCCCAGAACATCCACTCACTGAATGGGACTCAAAACCACCCCGAGCTCTGTGACTCCTGGTATATCGATAAGTCTATCTTGACCATCCAGCAGAGGTTGAAGAACCCTATAGACTATCCTAGAGGTACCCGTAGGATCCTATAAGGTCACTTAACCTCTGTTGGATGGCAATACCCAACCCCCCGGCCCAACTTTGGGGACCATGAGATTTGTCGCAATAGGGGGACCATGTTGGTCAACTCAGTGCATTAGAATTCTCGTCAATGCCGAGTAAGTAGAGAACGAAGTATCACAACCAAAATCAGTCCATTCAACTAATCACTTTATGCATTGTTGATGCTCTTAGCTGCTCAATCCCCAAAACCCCCAACCCGCCTGAACAAACCTCATGTCCTCTCTGTCCTCATGTCTTCGCCATCCACCACCATTTTTTGTACAAAAATCGATTCCTCATTCCGCCCGGTGGCCGAGCTTCACCATCTTGGCCTCCTCCAGCTCGACCATCTCGATGGAGGCCTGACCACCTGCGCACTGCACCCTTGAGCGGCACTCACCGCACAGCACGTGTCATGTCAAACAAACGTCCAAACCAAACAAAACAAAACAAAACAACCAAACCAAAGCAACCAAAGCAAACAAACCAAAGCA